GATGTATGGCTGCCGTGTAATCCAGAAGGTACTCTTTAATCTTTGCTTAATATAATTAAGTTAGATGTGCCTAATTTGTAATAAGAGCAAAGGGCACCTAGGCTCTTAAACTTTCCAGGATTCTCACCTAAGTCCAGAAACTCTCGAAGTGAGGCTCTAGGTCCTTTGAACATTTTAAGTTGCTCACTCCAAGTGATAAACCAGGTCCCTATTTGGACCTAGAGTGAAGCACTTTAAAGTTGCATGACCCAGATTCTCAATTTGAGAGTTTATGAACCTAGATGAGAATCCAAGGTAAGTTTAAGGACCCCCAGGCACATCTTTTGTTTTTTTAATGTAACAGGCACATCTTTTGTAACAATTATGGAAATATAGAATATGTTATACAAGCCTTTCTATTTCTCAATTCTGTTTGTACATAGCATTTTGTTTTACATCAACATGTGATGCTTGTAAGTCTCCAACTACTTCAAAAGCTGCCTGGCTTCAGTCTTTGTAAAATGAGTGCCATTGTGAGATGTCCTGCTGATCTTGAGTGCATGTGCAGTGTTAGTGGTTCATATGAAAACTTCAATTGAGGTTTATATGAGCATACCCGCAGTACTAGAGTGAGCATTCGAAACTTGTGGTGTTTAATATTTTATCACAAGTATCTGTGGGATCAATTCCTTTTTAGTTTATGTTCTACTGATCAGTGTTTTTCGTTGCTAGTCTCTGTCTTTATACATAAATTCTTTTTTTCTTCCCTTCTATTATTGCAAAAAAGCAGCAGGGTTCTATCACAATATCCATCATTCACTGCATGCCGTTGTTAGAGGGGTATCTTTTCGTAATCACTATGACATTCTGAGGGGGAAAGTAACTATGATATGGAAAGATGACCTCTTTTATGTACATAGAAATTTGCTGTTAATCTGCTAATGGTACTGTGGGACTGGTGATGCAGTGCAAGCAACTTAAAACTTAGTTTCTCATGTGATTCTTGATATCATCTAGTTTAATGTGAGCAACTACATCTATCATTATTGATTATTGCTTCCACTAACTTCTCTCTCGAAACATGTAGGCTCTTGAAGTTATGGAACTTGACCAGAAAATAGATCTAGTTCATGAGCTTGATGGACATGTTATGCGATGTGTCCGTGATCAAAATGGAAATCATGTTATACAGAAGTGCATTGAGTGTGTCCCCACAGAACATATTGGTTTTGTAGTATCTGCTTTTCAGGGACAAGTTGCTAGCCTTTCAATGCACCCATATGGTTGCCGTGTAATTCAGGTGAATTTACAGTAATAATCTATTAGAATTTCCTGATGGATTCTGGTGCATGCTTCAATGATTATCATTCTGGGCAGAGAGTTTTGGAGCACTGTGATGGTAACTCACAAGGCCAGTGCATAATAGATGAGATATTGCAGTCGGCGTGCATCCTTGCGCAAGATCAGTATGGCAACTATGTTACACAGGTAAAATTACTTTGTAAGTTGATATAGTGGATCCTTCAACACCGTTTCTCCCACAACCCTTCCAATGTTTGATATGTTTATGCCTCCCTTGGCAGCTTACTGTTCTCTATTTCTTTTGCAGCATGTTCTAGAAAGAGGAAAAGCTCATGAGAGGAGCCAAATTATTACTAAATTGGCTGGGCAGGTTGTTACCATGAGCCAAAATAAATTTGCATCAAATGTGATAGAGAAATGTTTTCAACATGGTGATATTGCGGAGCGGGATCTTCTGATCAGGCAGATTGTGGAGCAGACAGAGGGCAATGACAATTTGCTGGTATGTTTGATAGTGTAGTTAAGTGTTTCCTCCATTATCCCTCCCTTAGCCCCTTCCTCTGCCAAACGGGCTGAAAGTAAGGCTAAGACTAGGGGAGCTGATCTCAGTTCGGTACATAGTCAATCAGATGATTCTATGGGTGTCTTTCAGTTATTCCAGCTTCTGGGAGCTGTGAATCTCATGGATCACCAAAGGAGTCTCTTCTTTAACCTTATTTCTTTCTGTCTTGATGTTAGCTTATGTTTGCTAACCACCTTTTATATTCAATTAGGCAATGATGAAGGACCAGTATGCTAATTATGTGGTTCAGAAGATACTTGAAACATGCAATGAGAATCAGCGGGAACTCCTGCTCAGCCGTGTAAAGGGTCATATGCAAGCATTGAGGAAGTACACTTATGGCAAGCACATTGTAAGCCGAGTTGAGCAGCTCTGTGGTGATGGTAAGTTTCATCGTCCACTAGCACTTGCACTAAGATTCGCTGTGACTGTTGGCCACATGAGTTCATGACCAATGTCTTCAATTTTGTCACCCTTTCAGGAACTGCCGAGTCAGATTCTTGAAATGAACCACCTAATTCTTCATAGGCCAGGGGTGTCTTGTTCTTTTGCTCAGTCCATCAGTGAAGAAAGCAAAACAGACCAAGTCCAACTCTGGTGCTTCCAAACAGACTAACAAAACTGTCGTCGAAGATTGTATAGGTGTGACTCTTCAGGATAGTCTTGAGGTTCTAGAACAGAAGCGTAGTGGTGTGCATCAGTGTATCTATGTTAGGGCGTGCCTATTTACAGAATAATAGTGGTTGGTTAGCTGTGTGCAAAAGGAGTTAAGCGTTATGGTTTGTATGCGATACATATTAACTGTGCCTGGTAATGTATTTGCTTTCTTGCATCGCAGTTGTGGGATAAATGCAATGTTCATGTCTTGTCCTGATTGCTTGTGAATCTCTCGTTCAGTTCAACCTGCGTTTTCTACGCGATGGAGATCAGCTGCTGTCAATCTTTTGTTGTGATTTGGTGAAAAAAAGAAGGGACAATTGTCTTTTAGACATCCAAAGTAATGGTCCTTTTAGCGGACATCTACTTTGGAGTATTTTGTCAAAAGACATTTTGGTTCGGTGAAATTAGGTCGCAGGACACTGCGGATCGGTTGTAGCCGGTTGAGGAGAGAGAACATCGGTGAAATGACATTCTTGTCCCTGCCGCTTTCTTCTTCCTCTCGCTGCGCGCCAAGCGAGCCCCGCCTGCTAGCCGCGTTGAGCCGCTTGATGCCTCGGCCCCACATGTCAGCGGGAGGCTGTCGTCTTCCCCGCTCCGCATCGCGCGGACGCCCACGCCGCCGTCGATTCGCCCGTGCGTGCACCCCGAGGATGGTCGTGGCCTATAAAGGGCTTGCCCCTAAGCACCGTGCCCCTTTGGAACCCCAGCAGAGCCGCCGCCGCCGCCTAGACCCCTAACCCTAGCCGCGCCGCCATAGCCGCCGCCCCAAGCTCGGAGCCGCCGCCGTCGATCTCCGCGGCCACCGTGTCTCCACCGACAAGACCGCCACCGGGAGCTTCGCCCCGAGGTGAGCTATCTGCTGGTGCCCTTCTCGCCCTCTCCCTCGCTTCCGCGTGCCCGCGCGCCCTCGTCGTTGTAGCGCCGCCGCCGCTGCTCCGCTCCACATCGTGCGCTGCCGTCTTCGGCCAGCCTCCGCAGTCGTAAACCCTCGCAGCGAGATCGCGAGACCGAGCCGCACCTGCCCGTGCCCTCGCCTTGGCCCGTCGTGCGCCATAGTTCCGTGACGCCGATCTCCGGTGAGCTCACGTCGGCCACCCATGGCGCGCTGCCACGCGCAGCGCCGCTCCGGCGACCCAAACTAAGCGGCCGAGTTCGTGAGGCCGCGCTCCGCGCCCCTGTGCCCTTCGCGCACCCGGCCGAACCCCTCAGTGCCGTCTTCGCCGAACTCCAGCGAGGCGCCACCGCCTCCCATGGCCGCGTCGCAGCAGGGGCAAGAATGTCATTTCACCGTTGTTCTCTCTCCTCAACTGGCTGCAACCGGTCCGCGGTGTCCTGTGGCCTAATTTCACCAAACCAGAGTGTCTTCTGGTAAAATACTCCAAAGTGGGTGTCCACCAGCAAAGGACTATCACTTTGGATGTCCAACAGACAATTGTCCCAAAAAAGAAAGGTTGCGCACCTTTACACTAGTTAGGCATGGAGATGAGCTGCGCAAATTTTGTTTTAAAATGTCGGCTGGGATTGAAATGTCTATTTTCTAAAAAAGATATTTTCTTTCAAATTCCTGTAGTTCCACGGTTCAGAAGAAATAAATACTTCTTGGAAATATAACCAGGAGTGGAGAACTAACGGACCGTGTGGAACCCTTATAGCTAAGGCTAGTCGTGGAAAACTTACGGACCGTGTGGATCCCTTAGCTAAGGCTAGTCTGTGAGAGGCCAGTCTTAGTACTAAGATTAACATGTTAGCTTTGTATTAGTAATTGTGATTTCAACTTAATAAAACTCTACAAAACTCTCTATCTTTCTCTTCGTAATTAACCTGTCAAATCATCAAAGTTGCCAAGTGTCACAGTATTAAATGCATGACACCTCCAACCGAGACTGGCCTAATAGTTAGTTACTAAAGATTAGCTATCTAGGTTAATAAACCAACTAATGTGTTACCCATCATCCAACTAACGATTAGCTAATGTGTTACGTACCATCCAACTAAGGATTAGCTATTAGTTGATTTTTCTGCTAACACAATTAATAACGATTAAGTAATGTGTTGCCTACCATCGAACTAACAATTAGCTAGTTAGCTGTTTTTTCTTAGCTAACACAATAACGATTAGCTATTAGCTGGGTTTTCCCAGCTAACACAATCAATAGTTAGTTACCTGGCTAATGTGTTGCCTACCATCCAACTAGCGATTAGCTATTAGCTGATAGTTATTAGCTAGTTTTTTTCAGCTAACACAACTAGTAATATTTAGTTAGTTGGGTGGATCTAAACAAATTTAGCCCCTAGTTTAGCTTCGGCCAACAGTATATGTAATACTACAAATTTCAGAAATATATTTCCAACCTTTTTAATTTATCTAGTTTTCAAGTACATACTGTGGTAAAGTAGATTTTGATAGACCACATTGTCTTTGAAGATTTAACACAATTTTGTTTGTTCAACACAGAAACTCAAGTACAGAATAACAGAAGCATGTATTTCACTATTTTTAGACGGCGAAGAAGCCCTCCAGATTGCCGCTGCTCCTCGACTCCCGCCGGCTCCTCGCCCGGCCGACGTTGCCGGCGGCTCCATCGCTCATTTCGTCGAACACTCGCCCGACCATTCCCTCGATGATGTCCAGCGGCAGCAGTTGCTTCCGGCCGCCAGCCAGGGCCTTGTCGTTGGCCTTCAAGAACCCGGCGTACGCGCCGCGCACCGCCTTGGCCGCCGCGACCTTGATCTGTCCCCGGAGGTCGCCGTCTGGTATCTTGTACTCGGCCCCGTGCCGCCTCACCCGCTCCTCGAGCTTGTCAGCGAACGCCACCGCCTTCTCCCGTGCGTCGTCCGGCGGCCAGGTCTTGGGCGCCCCGGAGCTGCTGCCGCTGACGAGACGGACCAGCGGGGTCCACACCGCGTCCTGGTACTCCCACGCCGCCTCCTCGGCCGCCGCCTTGTACCGGCGCCGCATGGTGTCCTCGCCCACCAGCTTCGCCAGCTCCGAGCCCCGGGAACGCATGTAGATGTACCAGTAAGCGTTCATGGCCAGGACGTGCGACGCCACCGTGTCCGGGCACACCCGGCGCGCCGCCTCGACGTGCCGGTGCAGCGCCTCCAGCACGCTCGCCGCCGCCTCGTTGAGCGGGGCGCGGTTGCCGCCCTCGCCCGTGTTCTCTTCCTCGTCGCCGCGTTCCAGATCCGCGCGCAGTGCGGTGTCCATGAGCGCGCGGTAGTCGTCGGACGCGAGGCACTTGAGGTAGTTCACGGCGTACCGCACGATCTTGGGCACGTGCCCGGCGTCAGCGCCGGCGCCGGTGACGTAGAGCGTCTCGATGCGGAGACCGAACTCGAAGAACACGCCGGCCGCGGCGCGCGCCAGCGCGCGCTCCACCTCGCGCGTGCGCTCGCGGATGGCGACCAGCGTGGCCGACTCGCTGGAGAAGAGCTCGTCCAGGCGCTCCCTCTCCCGGACCACCGCGTCGAGCATGTCGAGCAGCTTGAACAGCTTCTGCGGCTCGCGCGCCGCGGCGGCCACGCCGTCCGCGAAGCGGAAGAACGCCGCGACGATGCGGGCGGCGATCTTGGCGAAGCACTCGGGCCAGACCGCCGGCGGCAGGGGCTCAAGCACGCGCGCGCAGAGCCGGCGCTCCGCGACGAGCACGGAGGCGATAGCCACGTGGAAATGCGGGCTCCATAGCGCCATGGCCGACTCCAGCGACTCCCACTCCATGGCGTCGATCTCCTCCGGCGTGTACGACTTGAGGTACGCCGGGTTGAGCCGCATCATCGCCTTGGCCGCTCTCCTGTACCTCGTCTGAGTGACGTCACCCACAGTTATTTCAGTTACTCACATCGCAACTGTCACAGCAAGGGTGTAGAGGTTAGAGAAAATGAATCACCGTGACGTAGATGTCGAGGCAGATATCCAAGCAGTCGTTGCCGGCGAGCGTCCTGGCCATCCTTGCCGCGGCCTCCACCTGGTCGTCAGTGCCCAGCTCGTACCCGGCCGTGCCTCCCTCGGCGCCGGCGACGTCGTCGTCCACGGGCGCCGGGTGCTTCAGCCTGAGGAGCAGCGCCTCGAAGAGCTCCTGGAGGCCGAGGAGAGCATCGTCGAGCGGGCCCTCGAAGCGCATCTCCTCGGCTTCCGTCTCGTACACCGCGCGCAGCGCCGCGGCGGCCTCGGTCAGCCTCCGGACGCGGCCTCGTCCGGCCGCCTTGGTCCGGCCCAGGAAGCCGACCGCCTCCTCCACCCTCCGGACGGCCTCTTCGCCACGCGCCACCACCTCCTCGATGGCGTCCCGCAGCTGGTCCACACGGTCGACGAACGCGACCGCGCTCTCGGCGTCGCTCGGGTTCGCGGGTGGTACGGCATCCTCGGCGAGCGCGGACACGCGGCGGAACGCCGCGAGGAGGGGCTCGGCCGGCGCGACGGCGCGGTCGATGCGCGCGCTCAGCGCGCGTGCCGCCACGGCTTGGGACTGGAGGTTGTGGGAGGACGACGGCGAGGCGCTGGACAGGAGCTCGTCGAGGCGGTCACCGATGGCGTCGATTTCGACCTCAGCCTCGGCCGCGGCTGAAAGCACCGAGACGATGGAAGCTCGCGATGCATGAAGCTTTGCAAGAACAGTGGCGCCTGTGTCGGCGTCGGCGTCGCCGGTCGCCGGCGTTGACGCGTTGGGGCACATGGCCGGCGGCCGGCCGGTGTTTGAGCCTAAACACGCGTGTATGACGATGTCTCTCTCGCGATTGGCGCCTGCCTTGTTGTATAACCAAGTATGGTGATTAGGACAAGTTTGGTTGGGACGAAGCTTTGGTGAGAGCAAAAATCTTGGAGCTTAGCTGCCACTTAGGACAAATGGCCATCTTTGGAGATTGCACCTCATTTTTGCACAGTTGTGACTTGAGAAAGAGAGCGAGCATTTTACATCTGTCAAATTGTGGTTTCATACAAGTCTCTGGAATTTTGCAATAAATTGCTGGCACAAAAAGCATCCAAAGGAAATTTGTTCTGATTTACTTGACAGCGAGGACTTCTTGTATTATATTAGAGAGTAACAATAAAATGTGTCTTGGTAGTTAAACTTTGAAATGCTTCAACATCTACAATATCAGATTAGTTTTGTTACACTCTATGAAATATATCTTGATAGTGCATCATTTAAAACTTGTAGGTGTTAACACGTATTTTCCTAAAACTTGGTCAACCTTAGAGAAGCTTGACTTAGTACAAAGCTAAAGTGAACTATAATTGGAACACTGAGGGTGTATCATACACTAATGTTAATATAGTTCTCGTATGAGAAATTAGAACGATTATTTGCACATATTCCACAACAGCACTCATTTTGGACCAGTGGATGTATAATATTGTATAACATCGACTCATTATGAACCGGATAAACGCTCCACACACACAAAGCATGCAAACATTCAGTGACAAAAGGTTCATCTCAGAAGTAAGAAATAGTCTTCCTTTCATTAGCAGGCAAATATGACAACAACAATGCTTTGGGCCAATGCATACCCAGTCCAGGTTGAGTCTGCTCAGAGTTGCTAGTAGTTAGATAATCCCAGGTTAGCAAAGGCCAATTGACTAATGCTGCTAATCATGGGTGCAACCAGCACAAGATGGCCTTGTTCTCTCCTAAATGGTTGGCATATGTGGGATTTTTTTAAGGAGAAAAAAATGTTGAAAATCCCACACAGCACAACAAATTTATTCTGTAACAATGCAAGAGCCTGACTTCATCACATTCCTGCTAGGCATGGAGCCGTGAACCCAAAAGAAGGTCCTTCCATGCCTCATAAAACATCCAGGTGACACCGGACGTCGGCATGACCTTCAGGGAGCTCGCCGCCCATCCTCGGAAAAGCCCCTTGACGCCCTCCTCTTGCACCACCTCAGCTAATGCTGCAATCATGTGGGGTGGGCACTTCCCTTGTAGGGATCCCACCATAAGCCGCTTTCTTGCCACTTCTAGAGGGAAGCTGATTGTGCTTGCGGTTAGACCTAGAAGGTTCAAACAACTGTGAGACAAGACATCAAACGTGGAATATAACATTTCCTAGTTTGTTTCAATAAATTTGGTGAACTGTATATTGGCTAACAATATGAAACAAAGTAACACTTTACATGTAACTGAATCTGACCTGAAAGAGCCCCAATAACCAGCAGCTCAGGACGGCTCAAAGATTTCTTTTTATGTGTGCGGCAGTAAGAAGTCTTGATGGTCTCGTACATGAAATAGTAGCATGTGCTATATGGAAGCATGCCAACCAACGTTGGGCAGAGGCCCGCATAAAGACCACCAATGCCATCAGTCCGGTAGATCTTGTTCAAGGCAATGGCAATACTAGGATACACCTCACGATTGACAGTCATGCGATCCTGCGACAAGAAGAATAGTAAAAAATTAATCAATAAATTAAATAAGAGGCCTCACAAAGTTCTATGAAGTTTGCTGGTTCACCATTTATTTGGAATAGGTAATAGAAGTTAGAAATACAAACCAGACCCCAAAAAGTACATAAAGAAAAGGAACACAACATTCCATGAATAGTGCCCACAGATATTCAACATGCAGATTTAGCTCTGAAGTACCTTAAGAACCTCAAGAGGATGGCACACTAAAGTGCTAGCTATTCCAGCTGCCGCACCTCCAATTGCGATCGGCGATAGTAAGTGAAATGGCAGCTCGATTTTCAAATTGCCAAGTTGTATCTTTGGGCATCCATCCTCTTTCCATTTCTCTTGTGCTGATGCCATACTCCTTTTGACACATTCAAATGTCCCGAGCTCAATTGCTTGAGTTGGGATAATCCGGAGCATATTTATTGTATTACCTGCCCAGAGTCCTTGCCAGCCATTATGTTCAACAATCTCCACAAAGCTACCAAAAATATGTTTTGATCCTACCCCTACAACCATTCTTGTCCTGAAATTGATCAAAGCATATCAGATTACTTGTAGATACTCTTTTATAAGTAGAGAAAGAGCACTTTTGATATTTATCCGAATCAATGGCAACAGACAACAAAATAATTGTAAATCATTTAGCTAAATGGGCTTGGTGTAGTAAATTACTTCAATTAGAATAGCAAGTGGGTATCACTTCACTGAAAGATATATACTAGTATCATAATATAATCGGCAGATCATTGAAAATTGTAAACAAATTCATTTCCCAGTGTGGGGGGCAAACTTTCTCATGCAACCAAACTAACATATTTTGAAATAGCAAGACGCCAGACTTAGAACTATGAATAGACAAATCTGGAGAGCAAAAGTATGACAACTACCTGATAGTTTCTAAGGGAGCAAGAACAGCCTTAGTCATTGCACCAGCCAATGCTCCACTCACGAATTCTGCGACTTCTCTATTCCTCAGAAAAGTCTGCATTAGATACAAGTCTTAGATCAATGTCTGGTAACTCCATCATCATTTAGCAAGATTTGAAAAACTCATAAGAAACTCAGGTCACTGAAAACAGTATTTTCAGGAAGTTCCAACTCTAAAATAATCCTATGCATCTGCAAGTGTTTAACGTGGTAGGAAATGCAATAGAGAAGCTAGAAAAAAGAAACTCCCATACAATGTATAGCTATTATTGATATTATTATTCCTTTTGATTTTCAGTGACAGCAGCAACGCTATGTGCATTTTGCACATTGACTACAGCATCACTTGTTTTATTAACATAAGACATATGTACCTGTGTATTCCCAAGTAACTTGGTGAATGCTGTCCAAAGCTATTGTTAACCTTTTACTTCATGCATTTTGTCAAAGCCTAATCCAAATTGCACCATTTTCTTTCTTTAGGAAACATCCTCAGTCCATAACTCTGACCATGTGAACAAAGCTGTGATGGCTAACAGTTACACATTTACACTGCAGCTCAATGGGTAGCATTTGCCTAGCTGGTAGCATGAAAGTTCCTAGGCAACAGCAACATCACAAATAGCTGGGAAGGTTGGATTGTAGTTGTTTAACAATATTGGTCCAACTTGGAAGTTGGAAGTGGACAGGGAAAGGAAAAACAAGGGAAGTTAACTAAAACACAGGTATATTCTACACGGGGTAGATGCATAAAAAACCAAGAAAAGTCTTGGGTTCCAAATGACAAACTTTTGTGTCGTTTTTGAAAGGATCATATTGTAACACCCCGGCTCAGGGCTTAATAGGATTAATAGGATACTCGTACCAACAAGTTGCAACTTCTTTTCTGGAAGCCCATCTCTTAAGAACTCCAAGGTTAAGCGTGCTTGGCTTGGAGCGATGGGTGACCGACCGGGAAGTTCTTCTTGGGGGCGCATGAGTGAGGACAAAGTGCGCAGAAAAGACTAGTGTTGGTCTGTGAGGTCAGTCTATGTCCTAGGAAAGCTATCAGATGTAAGCAGACCCAGCCTCGGAGAGGTGGGACGTTACACATATCACACAAACATAACAACAACAACAACAAAGACTTTAAGTCCCAAACAAGTTGGGGTAGGCTAGAGTTGAAACCCAGCAGAAGCCATCAATGTTCAGGCACGTGAATAGCTGTTTTCAAGCACTCCTATCTAAGGCTAAGTCTTTGGGTATATTCCATCCTTTCAAGTCTCCTTTTATTGCCTCTACCCAAGTCAACTTCGGTCTTCCTCTGCCTCATTTCACGTTACTATCCTGGCTTAGGATTCCACTACGCACCGGTGCCTCTGGAGGTCTCCATTGGACATGTCCAAACCATCTATATCACACAAACATAACAGAAAGAAAATTGTGGAAGCAATCAAATTTACTCACCAAGGCATATAAACAGGTATGTCACTACTTGCTTTAATCAAATTGAAAATTAGCTAATGATACAAAACGTCAGCATCTGTCGGAAGCTTCCCTACACCTCCACGGCTTTTTAAGTGCAAAGGAAAAGACAAATAAAAAGGAATTCCACATAGAAGGCAAACTTCTGCTCAATGGGGATAGCTACAGTGCATCTATAGCTTTCAACTGGTCAGCAGTCAGCACCAGGTCTGATTGTGAAGAAATATCTACCTAAGATAAGTACAAAAAAACATCCAGCAGGCATGGGACACCGGGCACATGGCAATGGAACCCATGCACACATCAACATTATCCTACCTTTAGAACCCCTTAACTTCATCTGTCTATATGGGCAAAAACAAAATACTGATCTGAGTTAACTATACTTCATCTCAACAAGTTACCAGAAACAATTTGGGATGCCCGCCTAGACCGCAGGCCAGTACGAAACTTCCAAACAACCACCAACTGTTAAACAGTCAGCTAATCAATTACTATTGAAACAGATAATGAGGTGACTTTGATATATCTATATATATATAGGAAGATCCCTGGATAAAGATCCGAAGTAAGCTACCAACATCATGGTCACAATATTTTAACAAATCAAATAAGTAGTTTGAAACTTCTACATCAAACAGTTACTAGGTCGCCGCATGAACCTTCAAGCATGGGGTCGCAGCATGAACCTTCAATTCAAGCATGAGGGACTGTTTTCCAGTTGAATCATCCACAGAATATACATCAGGTTATAGAACAATGAATAATAGAAAAAGATATCGCCTTTACAGCAAAGCTGATTTAAAAAAAAATCAAATCGCTCACAAATCCTATCCCCATGCGAGCAATTCAGCAAACAGGCACCACGCTTTGAATAAGGAA